CACTGCACTCCAGCCTGGACAACAGAGTGAGACTCCATCTCAAAAAAAAAAAAAAAAAAAAGATTACCAGGTACTCAGATACACAGGATGTAGCTTTAAGAACAGGAATCAGATACAGAGAGAATAAATAGGACCGCCAGATGTATTAGGCTAATAAGCACAGTTTTAAAACACAGATATTACCTTACCAAACCCATCACAGCAACAGGGCTGTGCTAAAGCTGTTACAAACCCAAATTCTCCAATTAACCCTACTCTATCCTGTGTTCCTGCTATTTAGACTTGAGCATACACCACAAACCTCATCCATCAAATGTTCACAGAAAAAGTGACAATCTTACCTGTAGTATGTCAATCCCCAGAAGCAGTTTGATAAGACTCTTAGAATAAGATGCACCCATACTGTAAAAAAAAAAAGAAATCTGTTTTCCACTTTGCTTTCCTTGTTTTAACGCTTTTATCATTTTTTCTCAGTAAAATTGGTTAAATACATAATCTTTAAAGAGGAACTACCCTGTTAGACAAGAAACACAGAAGTAAGCAGATGGCTCTTTGCAAGGGAGCGGTAGAGATTTGAAATTCTGTCAACACAGGTGAAACACATTCTAGAAAACACTGATTGTTAGGCTTATAACCACAAGCTTAGGAATTTTAAACTTAGTTTAAATTCTGAGGAAGACAGCCTACACCAAAAATGAAATTTCAAACAATTGTGCTCTCCCTCCCCCGCCCCCTGCGATTAGCAGAACAGACTGAATTTCAGCAAGATTCCATGCCTCCTCTCCACACCTGGCTTCCTCATCCTGCAGACGCTCACAAGGCAAAAGGCAGTTCCTGAAACTGTCTTCATCCTCAATGTAAGACTCCAGGCCACTAACAAATTCTTCTATTATCTTAATAAGGAGATTTAAAAAATAAAAAGAATAAAATATTTTGTTTAATATTTGCTGTTAAAAATCATTTTAGCCCACTCAACTTTATACCAGTGTCCTTAAATTCCAAATTCTAGAGTTATGCTGGCACAAGCAAAAATACCAGGGGAAAAATACATACTTTGGGATAGGAAGGGTGTCTC